GTGGATGCCTGGCTCTGTTAACATTAAAATTATTTGGTTTCTTCACCTTTTTCTTTCTGTAGCAGGATACAGACTGGGTGTCTGCAATCACTTGGCACAGAACAGGGGAGCAGAGGAGGAGATGCTGCCCCAATGCTTTCCCACAGTGATCGTAGGAACACCTCTGATCTGTCCTAAACTGCACTGGGGTTATTAAACTCTTGGAGTCCCCAGATCTCCAGGATCTATTAATTAAATACGTCCTCATTAACAAAATCATAATATGTACCTAATATTTATAAAACACACAACTTTAGTTTAAAAATATCTTTTAATTTAGACTAAACAATAATAGAAAAATATTGAAGCTGGAAAAATGCACTGTCCCAATCAAACAATAAAACAAACAAAAAACACCACAGATATTGATGCTGCTCATCACTGAACCTTCTGAGAATCAAGAACAAGATTCTGCATCCTTTAGAAGTTCCTAAAAAACACAAAATCACATCTACATTTCTGCTAAAAACCAAAAGTGTTGAAAATGTACAACCTGGGGAGAGGGATTAGGGAAGAAACAAATACTTGAGCCACTGGGAAAAGGCCTTTCAGGTTCTTTGCTCTCACAATACAGGGAGTCCTTGCCAACATACACATGGAACAAACCAAAAGGACAATGCTGATCTCCAGTCTGAATGCACCTGTGGCAACACAGCACTGGAGCACCCTGCATCCACAACTACTCTCACTCAGCTGGGAGCTGGACTGATCCAGAGGGCTGAGAAACAGCCCAGCTCTTCAGGTTTTTCTGCTCAGATAAAGGGGCTGAGGGTTAACCTTAATACTGGAAGCTGCGTTTAGTCTGAATGTCGTCGAGAATCTGTTGTAATTCTTCATCTTCAAACCGGCCCTCCAGGCTGCAAGGTAAGAGCAATAAAGAGACATTAAAGGTTTCAGAAATCATCTCTCTCCCTTGATTCATTTCAGTCATAACTCTCTCCTGTCAGTCTCCACACACTGTCACCTACCTGTGACCACCAGGAACCACCTGTAACATCACTGTACAAAGAGTGCTCTAATCCCTATGCACTGCTTCCTCTTTACATGACAAAACTCCTTTCTTCCCAGAAATTTTAAAACGTGTTTGTAAAAAAGGCAAGGCAGGTGTAAGTAGAACTCTAAATTAAAGTCCATGGTGCATGCTCATAAGCCAGTCCATGCTATGAAATCCTAACATAAAATCATGGAATGGTTTGGGTTGGAAGGGACCTTGAAGGTGATCTCATTCCAACCCCCTGCCATGGAGAGGGACACATTGCACTAGACTGGGTTGTTCAGAGCCCCATCCAGCCTGGCCTTGGACACTTCCAGGGATGGGGCAGCCTGTGCCAGGGCCTCACCACCCTCACAGGATGAATTTCTCCCCAGTATATAATCTAAATCTACCCTCGGCTGAGGCCATTCCCTCGTCCTGTCACTACTCTTGTAAAAAGTCTCTCTCCATCTTTCTTGTAGGCTCTTTCCAGCTACCGGGAACCCACAGTTAGGTCACCCCAAAGCCTTCTGTTTTATATAATGACAAATAAGGAGGAAACTGTAATTCAGGTGAATGTTTCATTCCCTCCTCTATCTCAGGCTATGAGGTAACCAATCAAGACATGAAGAAGCTACTGCTCCCCCCTACGTTATCCACAAAACAGTTCCTCTGCTCCAATGGAAAGCACTCCGAGGAACACAAACACAGCCAACTAAGAACCCAAATTTAAGAGGTTTGCACTTGATCCAGTAAAAGCTCTCGGAAGTGCATTAGGGACGTGTACAAAGTGTGTTGCTGTCAGATCAGTGGGTAGGGGAAGAAAGATCAAGACCAAATGTTTTTTCAGCAAGAGAGCTGGATTAAAGAGAGGGTACAAGAGCATGGCTGGCTTTATGTCACAGGGAAGGATACAGCAGCCTTTGTATAATATGTAGGTGCTTACCTAGGAATCAGAGCTTTTGCTTCCTCAGCTGTCTCAGGACACAAGTTAGCCAAACATGCCAGTTCAAACTTATGGAGCTTCTTCTGCAGCAGTAAGCTGTAAGGAAAGACAGCAATTTGATGGAATCACAAGACAGAAACATAAAAGGGCATAAACTGAAACAAATGCTTATCTTTTTGCACACTTTTTTTTGCACTGAAGTAATTTTTTTCTTAAGAAAAAAGACTCATTACATAAATGCATAGAGTAAAAAATAAAATCCTATCTGCTAACTCCACTTCCCCTGAATTATTCTGCAAAGTCTAGAAAATCCTCCCATTTAATGCAATCAGCTGTCAGTGAAATACTGAAAACAAAGCAGTTCAGAAGGCTTGACCTGGACAAAGCATAACCCTCCATCAAGAACTTTTTGCCTCGTTAGGAAGCCAAAAGACTCAGAATTAAAGAACAAATCACCAACACCACTAAGATGTACTTTTGTAAAGCAGGACCAGTATGAGGGATCCAATTTTCCGACACGGTGTTTGTTCCACACCGACTTTCCCGCTCACCTGCGCACGCTGGCGATGGTTTCGCGGTTTTTGAAGCGGCTGAAGCGTGCTGTGTAGTTCAGGGTTTTCATGAAGACTTCTGACAGCTCCTGCTCATCCTCCGCGCTCTCGTTCTGCTGCTTGCGGTGCTCCAGCAGCATGTGCACCTCGGAGTTCAGCAGAGTTTCCGCAGTTTCAAATTCTGCAGGATGAATGAGGGAACGCCAGCATGGAAAAAGGTGGAATGTGTTTAAATAGGGGAATTGCACAAGTTTGGTGTGTAATTTAGATCTGGGTAATAAAGAAGTGAAAATGTCTTTCATGGTAGTTGTGTGAGCTCTTTCACCAGTGACTGGGCAGCATTTCATACTGAAAATGCTGATAAAAATTACACTTCAAGTGACAGTCCAAGGTGTTTGTCTTTTTGACCACATATTTTACACTTGCAGCCCTAACATTCAGATTTTTTCATATTTGTGCAGTATGTTCTCTTCATCCAATTTTGGCAGAAGTAATGTATGACTTGATACAGCAAAAAGTATTTAGAGCCCTAAAACTCCACAAAATTCAGAAGTGATGCCACAGTCTTCAGAAGTCTCAGCTCTTGAAGTAAATATGAATGCTATTAAATGTTTTTTAAAAAGGCTTCACTGACTCGAAAAGTTAATTAACCTACTGAAATTTTATTATCAGAAAAAAAGAATTTAACCAATCTTAAAAATTGTCCCCCTACCTTTAGCCAACTTTGAATTCATTCATCATCACCATAACCACTGTACGTATTCTATTAACAAAACCATCTTTCAACATCACGGTGTGAGCTGTTCAAAGCAAAAAGGTCAGAGGCTGCATCCCAGAGTGCCCAGAAGCACTGTTTTATACAGGCAGATACAGGGACTGCTAGAAAGGGGCTGGCAACTTTTATTTTGAATTGAGCAGTAAATCAGCTTGGGCTAAACATGAGATTTTAGCATTTAAAAAACCTGAAAAAATAGTCTTTCAGAACTTCCCTATTGTTCATAACTCAACAACGTAGCAATGCAGCACGGTGTCCATTTCCCTCCCCTCCTTTTTTTTCAGGGTGGCTCTGAGGTGTAAATACATTTCTAGATCTTATACTGAATTAATTTTCTGAAAAAAAAAAATACACTCTGGATCTGGACAGCTGGTTTCCTAATTGCAGCTAATTTTGTATTCACTAATTTTATATTCACAGATTTCCAGAACAGCTTAGGTTGGAAGGGACCATAAAAAGCCCATACAGTTCCACCCTTGCCATGGGCAGGGACACCTTCCACTATCCCAGGTTGCTCCAAGCCCTGTCCAGCCTGGCCTGGGACACTTCCAGGGATCCAGGGGCAGCCACAGCTTCTCTGGGCAACCTGTGCCAGGGCCTCACCTCCCTCACAGGGAAGAACTCCTGTGTCAACAAACATCACCGAAAAACCTTATATCAAAACCCAACATTTTCTCTACAACCTGGCAGGATTTTAAAAATAATTTTTAAAATACCCTGTACACACGTAGCGGCCCACCTAATAACTGCCACATCCTAGAAATCATGAGATCCTTAAATATATATAAACCATTTATTACCCTGATTTTTAACACTCGGGGCTTAGTAGCAGCTGGAGGGGCTTTGAGCAGCGCTCCGGTCCACGGAGCCGCTCGGCGAGGCTCGCACCCTCACAGGCGGCCATTGCTGGCCTCCGACCACCCGACCCCGGCTCCTCGCCGGCCCCGCTCGCACCTTTGGGGAAGACGAGCTGCGAGGCGTCCTCCTCCACGTCTGCCGTCCGCGGGTCGCTGCCTCCCGCCGCCATCACCGGAAAGCCACGGCGGAAAGGGCGGCCCCGCCTCACGGCAGGGCGGGCGGCTCTCTGGGCGGGGGCGGGCACGGCTCTGCCCGGCTGGGGGCCGAGGGCTGTGCCCAGGCGAGGGGCAGGGACGGTTCTGCCCGGGTGAGGGCTGAGAGATCTGCCCCCGGTGAGGGGCGGGCACGGCTCTGCCCGGCTGGGGGCCGAGGGCTGTGCCCAGGCGAGGGGCAGGGACGGTTCTGCCCGGGTGAGGGCTGAGAGATCTGCCCCCGGTGAGGGGCGGTCACGGCTCTGCCCGGATAAGGGCTGAGGGCTGTGCCCGGGTGAGGAGCGGGAACGGTTCTGTCCTCCGTGAGGGCTGAGGGCACTGCCCCGGTGAGGGCTGAGGGCTCTGCCCCGGTGAGGGGTGGGAATGGCTCTGTCCTCCGTGAGGGCTGAGGTCTCTGCCCCGGTGAAGGGTGGGAACGGCTCTGTCCTCCGTGAGGGCTGAGGGCACTGCCCCGGTGAGGGCTGAGGGCTCTGCCCCGGTGAGGGGCGGGCACGGCTCTGCCCGGATAAGGGCTGAGGGCTGTGCCCGGGTGAGGAGCGGGAACGGTTCTGTCCTCCGTGAGGGCTGAGGGCTCTGCCCCGGTGAAGGGTGGGAACGGTTCTGTCCTCCGTGAGGGCTGAGGGCACTGCCCCGGTGAGGGCTGAGGGCTCTGCCCCGGTGAGGAGTGGGAATGGCTCTGTCCTCCGTGAGGGCTGAGGGCGCGGCTGCTTCTCTCTCCCTCTGAAGGGCGGGGGCCGGTTCTGTCCTGGGCGCTGCTGGGGATAAAGGAGCTCGGCTGCCGCTGTGGGGCACTGAGGGGAAGCAGCGGGAGCAGGGAGGCTGAGCGCTCTCCCAACAAAACTGCTCTCAGAGGTGTGTTTAAGCACGCTTAGCATTTAGCTGCTTTTTGAGAGGGAAAGCAGCGGGATGCTGAACGTGGTATGTATGAACAGAGGGCAAACAGCTGCGACAGATCAAGACTCTGCAAGTCCCTAACAGGAGGGTGTAGCCAGGTGGGGGTCAGCCTCTTCTCACAGGCGACGAGAGGACACAGTATTCAGGTGGGCCAGGGGAGGCTTGTGTTGAATATCACGGATTTGTTCACTGAAAGGGTGATTAGACATTGAAGTGGGCTGCCTAGGGAGGTGCTGGGGTCACCGTCCCTGGAGGTGTTTGGGGAAAGATTGGAGGTGGCACTCGGTGGATGGTCTGGTTGACATGGTGGTTTTCACTCAAAGGTTGGACTCGATGACCTCAGAGATCTTTTCCAATCGAATGGATTGTGTGATCATGAACCCAAAGTCTTACAAGGCACGAAGCGGGGCCCAAGAGCAGGAGTGTGGGGACACCGAGGGAAACAGTACTCGTCCTTCACGTGAGCAAACTCTTCTGCCCCTCACCAGACTGCACAGCAGCATCCGCCTGCCCAGGGGCACCTGAGGGCACCCAGACATAAATGCATCTTCCTTCACACCAGTGGGTCAGGCAGCTACAAACAACTTCATTTCACTACCAGAACATCCGGCAGCTGGACAGCAAACTCTAACCTTAGGAAAATTGTGACTGTGCCAGAATTTCTGTCTAGCTTACTGTGATTAATAGACCTCAGACTGTAAGGAGGGAATATTGATATCATAAATAACACACTTCATAAGGAAGGTTAATTTTCAGACTATCCAGAAGTAATCTACAGACCCTTAAAAGTCATAGGCAGGCTGAAAATGAAGATAATTCTCCCAACACTGCCAGCAAAATAACTTGTGGAGCAATGTTTTCCCTAGGGAGCTCACATGTAAGTGCCTAACCTAAGACTCTTAAAGTAATCATCTTATTAGCCCTTACTATGTCATCCTGTGCCCTTAAAGAAAGACAAAAATAGACTGTTGAAGAATTTATGATGAAAACACTCCTATTCTCATAAACTGGTATCTGAGCCTAGGTGAATGGTAAAGGAATTAATTAAAAATAAATTAGAAGAATATGAAGAGATCAAATAATAGATTTTTAGTATTTTCTATCTGGATAATGAGCATAGCAGAGAAACTGATTGGAAAATAATTTTCTAAGTGATACAAGCAGAAAGACATTCAGGAAGATGGAATGGAAATATCTTGGGGAACATCTGGCAAATTAAACAATTTCAATTAGGCTTACGAGAAAACAAAGAAATCCATGCCAGATTGAGGAGCGAAGCATTTAAAATCACTTGGAATCCTGATGGCTTCTCAAATAACCCGTCAACTCTGAGCATTGTGATTCTCAGAGCAGTACGTAGCTCACGGAAGTTTAAGTTATTAATTCCCCTTTTTGTTTTCCCCCAAGGAAAACAAAACTTCTACTTAAGTATACAAAACCAAGATTTTACAGGTACAGTTAAAGAGGCTATCATGAAAGATTCATTTTATTATCACCAATGTGTTTGGTTAAGGTATCAAGAGCAAAATAAAAATGTTCCTGAATGGAAGGTGCTTCACCCCACCTTTTTTTTTTTTTTTTAGGAATTTAAAAAATAAACTTATAAACCCCATAGTAAATATTGCTCAGCTGCTGCAACAAACCAAACATAGCAGAGTACCTGACCTTTTGTTAGTTTTAAAATGCACTGGCTTCTTCCTCACCAATAATGACTGTTTTGGCATTTATTGATAAAATATGCATAGAAAAGTAAGGTGAGCTTGATTAAAATAGTCACCGACTAAAGGAACCTTCAGGCAGCTTTACTGGTGACATCCTAAAAAACCTATTGGAAAAAAACACTTGGCCAAATGTAATTTATCATGAACAAAGTCTCTAATATTCCATATTCCAGGCCAAAAAGCTTTGATCCTTGCTGGAGACGTGGTATTGAGGAGCAGATTGTTAGACAGACCTATCATGGTAATTCCTGTGTTGCCACAGTCTAAACACAGCTCCTGGAACAACTCATTGCACCTACACAGACCTTACAAAGTGCTCAGCTAAACATCTCCCTGTAATCAAATGTAGGAACAACTAACAAGGATATCCTTGTTACCAGCACAAATCTATTTTGTAATATGCTTTCCTTCTAATTCATCAGGAGAAATCTGTTTTTTAATAGGAGTTTTTTAAGCTTTCCAACAGTAATTATGTATTTTCTGTGGAGTGCCAGTGTGATGGCAGATCCTTGTGGAGATAACCACTGAGAGCACCGTGTGCCACTGTAGCCAGCATTGTACAGGCATGTGTGATTTTAATCTGTGAACTTAAAGTATAACTCTTCAGGTTTAGGTCTTCACACCATTTTACCTTTATTTTTACTCCATTTAAAATGATCTATCCAAACCCATAATGAACAAACATGTATGAGCAAAGTTATATTAATATCCACTAATAAAGTCATAGTAAGACTCTGAATGCAAAACTACATGATCTGTTAAGTTTTAAAATACATATATGGCATTATCAACTAGTGGGATAATACATAATTTATGTCAGAATTAATATGACTGTAAGAGCAGTCTAGCTGACCATAGAAAATATATGGTTCAATAATCTGGCTATTGTTCAATTTGTAGAATTATACAGTTTAAAGAACATGGTAGCAATACTCTCCTTTGCTTGCTGTGTTTTGAGAGGGATCATCAAACACATTCACAAGTCATCTTTTCCCAGACTGTGGCAAAAGCATCTCAGGGACTTCCCTATCCTACTGCTCCTTATGCTATCAGTGTATGTGTTAATTTATACCTACATAACCTATAGGTATACCTATATACACCTATATATATATAGGTATATATACCTACACAATGCAATTTATTGTGTTGTATAGGTAAGTGTTCTGATTTTCATTTTTATCTTCAAGGTAAAAATGGCATTTCTCCATCACAGATAAAAAAAATTTCTTTTTGGTGTTAAATAAAATGCTAGTATTCTTCCTTGGAAGTATCCTCTAGAAGTTTCTGCCAATCTTTCTGCAATTGTGGTTTGGTGCTAAATGACTAATTCATTTTGTTTCTTATTTCAAACAGAAGTAACAACAGAAGAAACTGTTTCCAGGAGAATTATCCTGGTTTATATTTAGCCTGGATTGACCTATTTCAGTGTGCAGTCACATGCACACCCTTCTACCTGGCCTCATCCTCCCTGTGAGCTGCTGAGTGTTCCTGTGGTCACGGAATGCAACGTGCATGTAAGAACCTCTGATGAAAGGCAGCAGGCAAAGATTTTATGTCTGATTCAACAGGAAAACAACAACAAAAAAATCAAGTAGGAAAAGCATATAACATGAAAATATACAAATTAAGCCACTGTATTCCTGCCAACAAAGCTGAGAGAACACACTTGGTAACTCCCCTGGGATAGTAGGGATATGAGTAACTCAGAATTCACAAAGAAATTCAGCTGGAATTAACCTGGAAATCACATTAGTCAAGCACCCACCTCACATTACCTAAGGGATTGACTTTGTAGCCTTCCTAGTACCAGCATCTGAAAACAGGTTTTTGCTTTATAGTTGTACTATGATGAATGAGCTTCTCAGGCATATTTAAGTCACAACTACCCTCCCCCTTGGTTTGGCTGGTGGTTTTTTTAGGGTTTTATGACTGTTCATTGACATCCAGGGCTGCCCTTCCCAAGAGCCACAGGCAGAAAATGTAGCATTTCTAACTATACAGCTCCCATAGATAAAATGTTAACAATTATTTGAAAATGTATGGAAGAAACATACAAGCCAGAGATCCAATTCAAAACTATTCTACAATTCAGTTAATTCTGGCTGAAAGCAAACATTAAAATAGTAAGAATCTGGAAAGATGGGTGTTTTATTCCTCTGAAATAGTTTTTAGATCACCTGAAGACTATAGCCCTAAGGTACAGACAATTTGTTCTCAGTTCATTTTAGAAGACAAAACCCCAAAAGAACAATTTTGAGTTTCAGAAAGATTTAGAGTACTCTACATGTATGTACTTTATACATTTCACCATCGTGACAACTGATAGGAAGTTATTGTCAAGCAAACATTATTTCAGGATACAAAGACACTGCTATGCCATTATTAATAAAATGTAATTAATATTTGGTTTTAACTTTCCTACTATTTTTTCTTGCTTTCTTGTAGTGAGCCTATTTGATTATTGTTGTGTTCCAGACAGCTGTCACCCCACTCTGGCAACCTCTCTGGTTCTGAATATGTGGTGTAATTTACAGGTTTGCTATTCATACAGGTTTGCTATTGTCTGTCTTTCTAGATGAGAATGATTTCATCTTATCCCCCATAAAGGCTGTGAGGAATTGTATAAAGAGAACAGTACAAGTAATTTTTATCCATTATGATTTATTCTCTACAATACTTCATTAGAGGATAGAGTTCACTTATTTACACTCAGAAATTATTATATAGGTAGGAGGCAACCAAGTGTAATATAAAGAATTGGTCTGACGTCTCTGCACTGTAGGTCAAAAGAGGTCTCCTGCTTTAAGGAAATAAATTAACCAAAAAAAAACCCCAATAAAACAACATGTAATTTCTGGATACAAACAGAAAACAGCACTAATAGTCAGTGAAGACTGCAGAGGTTTGTTAATGTACTATGAAAAGAAATTATTCTGTGCAAAGGTTAAAATGAACTCTTAGATTTCCTTACAGATTTTTTTTTTTTGTTCTGATAAATTGTAGATATGTGATATTTTGACCATATAACATTCCCAAACTGAAATGGCTTCAGTTGAGATTGACTGTTGAACAACATGGAAAAAAAATTAAGAACCTCACAGTGGAAACATTTCAACACTGACAGACTCCAGTGATCAAAGACATTCTCCTGTAGTTACCAGAAAACAAAGACATTTCATCATTGCAGTGAGATTATTTATCAGTTGTGGTTGTCATGAGAATAAGCCCTTCTAGACCAAAAGGCACTTGCTTCTAAGGATGAGTTAATCCAGATCAGACCAGGTAACAGTTGCTTTGAGGAGTAGTTCTAACCAGCTGTCCCAGCCAAGCAAACACAGAGAAAATCTCACATCAATTGGCCAATTTTGGTTGTCTCCATCTTGAGGCAATTCAAACTACAGTTTGTGCCCAATTCACCTCTTTCATCCTTATGCATAGCTGCCATGTAATGATCTAGAAACGGGATTATTTCCTGACACCACCTGTCCTTGCCATACATTTCTCTGAGCTGACTTAGCTATTGACACAGTTTTCAACTGATTTTATAGCTGGACCCTTATGGGACTAATGCTGAGAGGGCCTGTTCCTTAGCCAGCAGACCAGTGTTTCTGATCTGCCAGCTTCTCTTCTCACTGCAACAAGACAAGAACACAGTACATATTTAGAGGCATTTATGTTTTGTTTGTGTTTTTTTAAACAGACTGAGTGGGGAAATAGAAGCAGGACAGGATAAGACTTCCCCAGTCCCAAATCACCTGTCCCACTTCAGGCTTAAGCCAACCAAGTTTCTCAATCCTAAAATTCTGTTCTTTAAAAAAAATGACAACTAACCCTCCCCACCCCACCCTTTAGTCATCCCTAGTCAAATAAACTGAAATCAGGAAAACACTATACACTGTTGAAGACACAGAACAGGGCAAACACCTGAAAAAGAAACAGTATAGTTGAAAAGCCTGGCACTGTACGCCTGCATGACCAGTCTCACCGAGCGTGCTCAGGGGTGAAGATTTAGCACCATTTTTTGCCTTTTTTTAAACATTTTAGAAATTAAATTCTAACATAGAACACTTGAACAGTAATGAGTGTAGCCCTATGTATCATACTGTTTGACAGCTGAAAGGTGAGTTGCCTGGAGCTGACCCCACCCTCCCCCATCACTACACGGCACCTGGGGGAGCAACTACAAACTGGAGTGGTTTGTAACGAGACTAATTTATTCTCAGCAGCAGGAAGTCATGAAACAAGCCTTTCATCTTCAATTCTTTTCAACATCACAAGGGAAAAGTGGTAATTTGTAGGAATGACCCAATGCGGAGGGAAAGCTGGGTCAGTATTGCACCATTATCCAGAGGAATCCCCCTCACATCTCTCTCCTCCAGCAGAATTTACAACAATGTGAAGCAAAATGGCACAAGTTGTGCCTTGCTTCCTTAGGACCAGGAGCAGCACCCTGCAGTTCTCAGCTTCCTACCAGCCTTATTCCCTGCCAGACCATGGCATAATTTCAGGCTTCAAACACCAGCCAATTACAACACACAAGCAGGCTCAGAAGATGTGTGCAACCAAACAGCCATGACTCTGCTGTGCACTCGTGTTCTCTTCCCCGATCATTACTGACCCTCCAGAAGCTTGGAAAACCAACCCACCAACCCCACCCCCAACTGTATTCTGAAATCCAGTTATCTCATTGAAAGAGTGTCATAATTTAGAGTTTATGACATCCGTCAATGATGCTGCAGAATACAACTGATAACTTCCCTTCAGAAAAGAGTATTCCTTGTGATCATCAACCACGGGAGAAGAAATTCAGAATGCACACGAGTTTCATGCCATTTGGGTAACACAGATTTCCCCACTCAGTGCCTGGATGTGGCAATGACTAAGCTGAGTAAGATAAATCTTACCAGCAAAACTGAACAGCACCATTCCATGGGCCAGGAATAAACTGGAACACTCACAGCCCCTAAGATCAGTAGTCATACCGGCCAGAGTGGCTGTTCTATCAAAAGGAAGGTCCCCAAGATTGTTAGCTTAAATTAAAACAAATTTCAGTCACTGGTCTCACTTGGACGACTACAGTCAATCTCTGCAAACCCCTCCTCAGCCCTAATCTCTTACAAATATTTGGAAACAAAATTTGGTCGAAACAAAGACTGTCCAGGGACACTTGAGGATCCTCTCCTCTGCATACACAGCATGTGCCATGTCGCTCTCTTACAGGCAAAACAGCATTGTATTTCATAGCAGGCTTCATCACCAAGAATCCAACCTGCCAAGGATCTGAGCCTTAAAGCCTTCAAGGGTTTATTTAAACAAAGGATTAATTTTTCACATATTTTCTGTCCATGAGGATGGGGTGCTCTCCAGGTGTCCAACCCTCCCCAATATCATGATGTCCGCCTGTGATGCGTGGGGAATGCAATCAGCTCTCAGTACACAACAGATACCAGAGGTTAAAAAAAAAATTAAAAAGAACCTAAAAAATGTTTTGTTGGACTCCGTTGCCCAGGCTGCCAGGGGAATGCTCCTACTTGATCTGGGGGGCTTCCATAACAAACAACTCAAGTTTCCAGAGTGTCAGTAACACCCAGGAACAGATCAGTCCGAAGCAGCACTTTCACTCCTAAAGGTCTTCTGCACCTCACGACAGTTCGTAGGCATGGAGCCCCAATCCAACTGAACCCCCGCTCGGAGGGAAGGCTGAGATAAGGCTTGGGCCCCTGAAGTCCTGTCACGCTCTCACCCTCCCCCCAGGTCAGTGGGAAGGCAGACTTGGCAACGGAAGCTAGCATCATAAAATGGTGCAGTAATAGAAGTAACTGGACCAGGAAGAGGAGGCGTCTGCCCCGATGATGTCATAGCCGTTGGCAGCGACTGGGGAGTGGGACTGGTCATGCAGCCGTGTGTCAGGAGTAATGATTGTAGAGGGGAGGGGCATGAAGGGTGCCATTCTGGAAACAATGCTGGCGGGAGGCCATGTACTCTGCATAACTGATTGTCACCTTCTCACTGCGGTACCTGCGGGAACAGGCGGAAAAACAACGTCAGACTGCGCAACGTGGAGAGACTCGACGTAGAACATTCACCCCAGACTCCCCTTCAGCTCACAGCCAGTGCTGACCAAGAGGAACCCATTGGCACGAATAACCTATGTGAGCTTGAATTAGCTCCAGTGCCCTGAAAGATGAGTCCTAATCAAGTTAATAATAATTAAAGGGATGCCTAAAGTAGCACACAGGAAATAAATGATCGGTTTGTATTCTTTTTTATCCACAAATTGCATAAAAAGCTTGCTGGAAGAAGATTCAACTACAGTGATTAAATAATCAGCATTTCACTATTGTTTACTTTTGTGGTTATCTCCACATTTGAAAAGGTAGTGAAAGAAATGGAGAGGTGGGTAAAGACAGGTTTATTATAGCAGATAAATTACTTAGTCCATGTTGTACAATCAGAATTCACAAAATGTGAAGTTCCTTTGCAGAGGCTGGCGTTTTCCAAGTTCTTCTAAAGCATATTAAATAACAGCCAGCTACAAAGTGGTTGTGAATTGCAGTAAGATCACATTATGTGAGATTTTAATGAAAACCTTCATCCTGTCACCTCCTGTTAAAGAAAACCCTGCACACTCACCTAATTTCTCTAGAAGTAAAGAATGACTTGATAAATTAGTGTTTCTATATAAAACCAGACAGTCCCAATTTTTACTAACATAAAGGGGGCAGAAACCAATAGGACAGCTGGGGGTATAGAAAAGCAAGGAAATTCTGAAAACTGGCCAAATTTGAGTGTGGTTTGGTTTTAAGACAGTTGCTACCTATGAATAGCCACAGCATTCACAGATGAGCACACTGAGAAAAGGAAATTCATTGAAAAGATACAAAAAGAAATCAACCTTTTCAACTGTCAAAGGTTCTGCTTCTGATCTTTCACATATATAATAATATTAAAACCAGTGACACTTAGAAAAATGCCAACTTTGATCCTGCATGGACCAAACATATTGTGCTTAATTCCATGTGCATTATATGACTAACACATGGCATTTGTGATTTGGTCTTTCACACTACATCTCCTCTGGGAGAGGCATAAAGACTTACATCAAGCACAAATATTTTAAATCACCCCTAAAACACTATAAAGTAAAATTAAAAGACAACAAATACATTTGCTTACCTGGTAAGTTTAATTGTTTTCCTAAAATCATTGGTAATGGGAGCCTTAAAGCCACCTTTCCTGAGTAAGGAGTCTATGGTCTGGATCTGATCCCAGTCTATTGAAAAATAGAAGCAAGGCAAATTTTTCAATATAAAAAAAATATTTCAAAACCACAAGAGATGCATAAAAAGGACTCTAGAAAAACAAACAACTAAACAGGAAACTCTGAGCTTTAGAAATCC